ATTTAATGTAAATGTATATTTTATATATATATATTTTATGCAGTTATGCCTGATTAGTGTGGCTTAGTGGTTGAGTTTTGACCCATGAACCAAGAGGTCCATGGTTTGATTCCCGGACAGGGCACATGCCCAAGTTTCAGGCTCAATCCCTGATGGGGGTTGTGCAGGAGCCAACTGATTGATGATTCACTCTCATCAATGTTTCTATCTCTCTTCTCCCTTTCCCTTCCTCTCTCTCTGAAATCAATAAAAAATGTATTTTTGGGAAACACACACAGTGGTGGGTGGAAAGTGAGTGGCCTGCCATCTGTGTCTGCCCCAGGCTGGAGTGCTGTGACTACACGCTGCTCTCCTATCGAAGCCTCATCCTCCCTCTCAGCAGCAACCACAGGCTGACCCACCTGAGCCTGGCCGGGAACACCCTGAGGCACGAAGGCGCCAAGGACCTGTGGAGCGCCCTGCAGAAAGCCAAGTGCCCACTACAGAGGCTCGTGTGAGTCCCAAGTGCTCTGTTCCTAATCTCGGGGTGTACAGCACAGCGCAGGGAATGGAGTCATAATCTATATATATAAAAGCCTAATGTGCTAATTGTCCCTCCAACTGGGCGATCATTTGACCAGTCGCTATGACATGCACTGACCACTAGGAGGCAGACACTCAATGCAGGAGCTGCTGAGCTGCGGTGTCTTGGCAGCAGCGGTTCTTGAGTAACACACCCCAAAACCAGAGAGGAAGGAGCCCAATTCCTCGCGGGGCTGTGCAATTCCACCTTCTGCCGGGGGTTATGTTGTGGGGCACTGTTGGCCCCAAATCTGGTTTACTGCACACTTATGTTTTCGTTCCACACCCTGTAGTGACAGCAACTTTGCAGAGTACCCTCTTGCACTCCAGAACCCCTCGGGGGATGTCAAACTTCCGGTTTTGGCCTGATCCCTGCAAGTCAGGCCAAGGGACCCCACCTGCCGGAGGAACCCCGCTCATTCTGCAAATGCCCTTCAAGCTATGCTGCCACCCCAGATGCAGCCAGCTGGGGAAAGACCATGGGAGGTTGGCTCCAGGGCATGTCTGGCCCATCTCGCCCATTCCTGCCCCACCAGCCACCTTCTAATTAATTTCCTTTCAATGTGCATGAATCCGTGCACCAGGCCACTAGTATGTCAAACCTGTTACACACACACACACACACACACACACACACACACACACAGCAGGAAGGAGGTCCCACAGAAGGGTGTGTGTTGGTTCTTCCCTCCGTGTTCTCTCTGCAGCCTGAGGAACTGTGCCCTGACTGCCTGCTGCTGCTGGGAGGCAGCCTGCGCTCTTGTCCAGATCACAACCCTGCAAAGCCTGGACCTCAGCTTTAACAACCTGACAGATGAGGGGTTGGACCAGTTCTGCAAGACCCTGGAGAACCGTAACTTTGGACTCCAGGTGCTTGAGTGAGTGGCTCCCCCACCCCTAACCCCGCCCTGCTGTGAGACCAGAGCAAGGGTGGTCTCAGGAGGGAAAACGGGGACGTCTGCGTGCATCACTGGGTTTTTCTCCACCGGGTTGGAGGACTGGGGCGTTTCAGAACAGGGGTTCTCCAAGTGTGATCCTCAGATGAGAAACGTCCTGGGACACTGTTAGAAATGCCAATTCTTTTATTTTTAAACTAGAGGCCCAGTGCAGGAATTTATGCACCAGTGGGGTCCCTCAGCCTGGCCTGTGGAATCAGGCCAAAACAGGCTCTCCGACATCCCCCGAGAGGTCCCGGATTGTGAGAGGGTATAGGCCAGGCCAAGGGACCCCACGGGTGCACAATGGGGGCCGGGGAGGAACAAGGGAGGTTGGCCAGCCAGGGAGGGACCACGAGAGGGCTCCAGGGTGTATCCAGTCAGTCTTGCTTAGTCCCAATCAGCCTGACCCCAGCAGCAAGCTAACCTACTAGTTGGAGCATCTGCCCCCTGGTGGTCAGTGCACATCATAGCAAGCGGTTGAGTGGCCTTAGCATATCATTAGCATATTATGCTTTGATTGGTTGAATGGCCAACCAGTCAACTGGCTTAGCATATTATTAGGCTTTTATTATATAGGATATATCTTTATTGATTTCAGAGAGGAAAGGATAGGGAGAGAGAGAAAGAAATATCAATGATGAGAGAGAATCATGGACTGGCTGTCTCCTGCATGCCCCCTCTACTGGGGATCAAGCCTGCATGTGCCCTGACTGGGAATGGAACCATGACTTCCTGGTTCCTAGGTCGACAGTCAACCACTGAGCCACACTGGCCGGGCATTGGTTGCTTCTTGTATGTGCCCTGAACGGGGATCAAACCCGCAACCTTGGCATATCAGGATGACACTCTAACCAGCTGAGCTCCCCAGCCAGGGCAGCGTTCAATTTTTGAAGGATTATATGGCTCATACCATCTCAGAATTAGGGATGGTGCAGCCTACTCTGAATAATTGCCCACAACACACAAAACAACTGACCCAAAACCTCAAAATGCATTTGGAGGGAGGGGACTTGCTCCCCCCGAAGTGTGTCTCCCGGGCTGTTGTCCGGCTGAGCTCTCAGACGTGGGACACGGGGACTCTCCTGCCGTCTGTGTCCGCCCCGCAGGCTGGAGAGGTGCCAGCTCACCTCCGACTGCTGCCAGGCCGTGGCCTCCTTGCTCCGCCGCCACCCGAGCCTGAGGCACCTGGACCTGAGAAAGAATGACATTAGGCTCAGGGGCGTCGAGCTCCTGTACCAGGCCTTCGACCAGTGGAAGGGGGACACGGAGGTTGTCCTGTAAGTGTCTCAGAGACCCTGGACCTCAGGGGGCTCTGCAGGTGTCGCTAACGCTCTTCTCTCTGTTCCTGGGGGTTTGGGCTCTTGTTTCCATGGCCGAGCAAACCCAACCCCCCCTTCCCACTCCCACCCCCAGCTGGTGTGGCATTGGAGAGTGGACCTGGATTCTTCGGGCTGATGTTCAATTGTCTCTTCATCTTCTCTCCTTCTCCTTCTCCTCCTCCTCCCTCCCCTTCTCCCCCCTTCCCCCTCCTCCTCCCTCTCCTCTTCCCCTCC